TCAATACTTTATACGATTTCCCAATTCAAATTCACCTGGACCCCATGAAGCTATAATGCACTTTTACTATAATCGAAAAAAGACTCAATTCTTTAAACAGAAAAATGAAATTTCAGAAAAGGCATACTCTCCCCTTTCTGGAAAATGTTGCATGCCATCCACAATTAGATTTATCCAAAATTAAATTATGTTTTCTGCTGCTGAATACCACTAGATAAATTTTAAAATGCATTATAGAAAACAAACGCAGCAATCAATTTGTGCCAATATGGGGTCATGTAATTTCACATCTGAATTAGCTAGTAAAATTTCTGTAATAGATGCTGTTCAATGGATGTCATATAAGTGAAGATCTTAGTGAAGTTCTTTCTCAACTCCGTCTCGTTGAGTTGGTTTCCGTGTGTATCACGATTCGATGAAGTGATCCAGGTTCAATGGAAAGCACACCTCCACACTCAAATTGATAATATTTACAGTTTATTTACAGATTCTATATGTAGAAAGACAAGTTCGAAAACTATATATATATACACGATAACAATGCGTGGTGACTCACGTACTAGAATGGTATCTGGGAACTTTAAACTTTGAAGACGCCTCAATCAGCTCGTGGAGTTGGCTCAACTGCACGGTCCGTCCAGTCTCCGCACTAACCCGTCCCTGAGATGTTTACCAGAGGAGAACACTATTCTCAGTGGGATTCCTAAGTGCCTGAGACTACCGTGTACCACTCTCTTGCCCTTCTCACTTCCTCTCTCGTTCGCCCCCACAATTTAGGGTTTTTTGGATGGGGACTTCCAACCAATCACAACCCCTTCTTGCCTGAACAGCTTACACTCGGGTCCACCATCATCTGACGAGAGTGAAGCATACATAAACGTCAGCCACTTGTTTACATTCAGTTGTTTACCATATGGCAAATAGTCTAATGTCTGACTACAGGTGGGTCTAATTGACAAAGCCAGCACTTCCTTTGTTTTCCCTCTGTTTACAAGTCAACACCTTACAAGTGGTATTACCTGACCAACGTGGGTCCAATTGACAAGGTCGCACTTCTTTTGTTCCCTCTCTGCTAAAAAGTCAATACTTTAAAGATCCTACCATGGATAATATTCAGAAAGAAACAGAACTAGATGACCAAGATGGAGCAGCCATTGGGTTAAGTAAAAAATTACATATAATTAAGCTAGCTTTAAACTAAAAAATTTTTATATTTCACATATTTCAGTGATAGATATTGAGAAAATGAAAAAAGTCACTTCACTGATGCTTTAAAAAAATTACTGCCTTAGAACAATATGCACAATGAATAAAATACATTCTTATGTTAAAAAGCATTTTGGAACTACAAACACTAACAGAAGAGAAGGTTCCAGAGTTTAAAAAAAGACTAAAAAAAAACAATAATTATATTCAGAAAATAGTTACACAACAAATGCCAAAATATGTCTTAACTTTACATATTTGTTACATATATGTGTTAAAATTAGAAACATAAGTTTGACACATAATGTATGTTTTATGTTTACTTTTAACTTCAAATAAAAATTGATTCCATTTCATAGAGTTTCTTTTCCAAATTAGACAAAGTCACCATAGATAGTAGAAAAATGTTGAAAACAATGATATTTTGGACACATCTGAATACAGTAGTACTGTACCTCAGGATACGAAATTAGTCCGTTCCGAAACTAAGATTGTATCATGAAAATGTCATAAGGTGAATCATTTTTCCCCATATGATTACATGTAAAGCCAAATAATCCATTCCAACACGAAAAACACATTCAAATTAAAGCTAAGTTGTACATTAAAAAAAAATAACTATAGTAAGGAAAACACTGAAAAATGCATTTTGTAGTTGTAAATGTATAAATAACCATAATAGAATAATAACTGATAAAAAAAAAATGCGGTTTTATTTGCACTTTACCTTTGAGGATAGACGACAGTGGAGGTGTAAACTGGTGCGCGGAAGAGAGGGAGAAGAGAAATGATACTTAACTTACATAAGTTATTTTTAAGTTATTGTTACATTAACACTAATTTTTTTTTATCTTTTCTGTTTTATATTTTATTTTTTAATTCTTTATTCAATGCTTTTTGCTTTCTTTCCTTCACTTCCACCAACACTTTCACTGGATAGAGGTCACTTGGTAAAATATCTATCCAAAGAGGCTTTGTCTACTTTTTAAAATGTTTCTAAAATGACTTAGGCAAATGTCATTAAACTGAGCAAAAATACGGCCAGTGTGAACCTTTTCGGGATGCTTCTTTTCAATAAAATCAGTCACTTTCTGATAATACCTCAAGATTTCCTTTATTGAGCGAGATCCTTCCACGACGAAGCAAACACGCAGACTGAGACCAATGAAAAGAAGCAAATAAAAAATAGCACTGCAAACTAATGTAAAGTCATATGGTAAGGTTTTGTTCGTACTGTGGAGCAAAAATATGTATGAATTTATTGTCGTATCTAGGGATTGTAAATTTACCAATTTTTTCATTTACCAGTAATTTGGTAAATGAAAATTAAAATACCGGTTTACCAATAAATTACCGGTAAATTTTTATCTTAAAAATAAAATTAAGGCAATAAAAAAATTAAATCATTATGATTTCCATTTTACATTTTTATTTCAAAGATATCAAATATAAAAACAAAAATTAAAGTATTATTCTAAACAAATTATAATAATAAATATAGAAATAAACAGAAATAAAATAATACAGGATAATAAAAATATAACAGAAATAATATATAGTACTTAATACCATTTTATTGATTACCATTTTTTAAAATTAACTTCTCAAGAAACTTAAATTATTTAGTCTTATCTCCTAATTTTGATTTAATTTTTGTACATAATAATCCAGATCCCAAGAATACCCTTTCTGATTCAACACTTGTTGGACGAATGGTCATTAAATTAAAATTAAACAAAAAATATCTCATATAAAATTAATAATGAGGTATATTGTTGCTTACACTTACCTGTTTTTTTTTTTTTTTCAATGTCCCTTTAGCCCTTTTAAATATCTATAAATACAATATTTTCTACATAGAAATTTCTAGTATGGATTTTTCATTTACCAAATTACTGATAAATTTCAAAAATTTACTGGTAAGTTTACCAAATGTTTTTTTGTCAATTTATCTGTTAACCGGTATACAATCCCTAGTCATATCCTGAAAATTTCGTATGTTGGAGCGTTCGTATCCTGTGGTACTACTGTACAGTCAAACCTGTCTAAACTAAGTTTAGTTTAATGTATGTCTTAATATGCCTTATATAAGCACAATGCATATGAACCACATACAGTAACAGAGAAACATTTGTATAATTAACAATAAATAATAATCCATTGTTACGAATTCTAACATCTTAAAATAACTGAATATATATTTCAGTAAATTCTTTCATAATTAAAATTTTAGATTACATTACATTTAATTCAAAATTAAATAACATTCAAATCTAATAAAATATTTACATTAGTTTTGATAAATAACTTAAATTAGGACATAAACATAGCAATTTGTGAACTAATGAAGTAACAAATGAATGAAAATCAGCCTCACATCAAAAAATGTAATTTTGAGAAGAGAAGTTTTATATTATGGTATTTAGAATTACGTAATTACATATAATACTATATTCATTAACAGGTGCTTATTTTGAATTTAAAAAATCTCAAAAATTGACTTTAAGAAGTATTTTCAATCATTGCTTCTATAAAAATGATTTGAATCACTGCAGATCTACAATAAAAATATCAATCAAAATAAAATTATTTATTATTAAATATACAGAGCATATATAGAAGTGATAGGATTGTTTAAATTTTTAAAAAGTACCAATCAATTTTTTAATTAATTAAGCAAAAGCAAATCAAAACATGGCATCAATGAACAAAATGAAGGAAGTCAATTTAAAATTCTCCAATAGCCTTGACTAATTTATTTTTATATTACAATTCCAAATATACTGTACTATAAAAAAAAAATTTTGTATCTTTTAAAACTACTGAATAAAGAATTAAATTAACCGAATACGTTTAAGTTTTATTCATTTTAAAACTTAAAACACGTTTATTTAATTGTACGTGTTTAATAGTTTTTAAATGCAAGTGATTTAACACGAATTCTTTCAAATTACGTGAAGACTTCCTCCTAGAATACAACGATTGCCGTCACCGTATCATAAATTATCTTATTTTAAGTATCGATAATGAGAAACAAATCAGAAATTATCAAAAGAATTAGAAAAACTCGATAATATTTTAAAGAATCTTTAAATCGTAAACATATAAAATAGTTTTTTTTTTATCAGTTCGGGCTTACCAGTGAAACGAAGACGACGAAGATCAGTAATCCAAACATTATTATTATTTAATCCAAGTTTGAGTTTGATTTTTAAAGTTATTAAAAAGTAATTAATCGAGGCGTTTTCGTTATTTTGGGGACGAAGAAAAGATTAAATGAAACTCAAACGCAAAATTCCCCTTCGTCGAGATGACTCAAACGCCATAAAAGAGTTGGTGCGCAGAATCCGTGTGACGTCGTTCGTGTGTCACATCAGCTCATGTTGTTTGTATAAAGGTACGCTCGTTAAACACTAAATTTGCCTTTTTGCGCGCATGACGTCATATTGGAAGTATTTTATGTTGATTGTTGCGCAATTCTATTGTAAACCGATTAAAACGAATGCTTGAATTTTCATAATTTTTATTTATAAATAAATGTGTTTTAAAATATTCTTGATATTTTTAAGGGGGTAAAAAAGTTTAAAAGTTGAACGATTTTAAAATTTTACGAAAATCTTATCGTAGTTTATAAAAATATGACTTATTTATATATATATAGATTCTTTAATATAAATAGGGATACGTAACTGACAATGACCATTTAATTGGTTCTTTCTACGGGTGAATCATCTTTAATTGAAACTTAATTTACCGCCACGGTGGCGCCACATAGATATATTTGATCGCGTTTAAATTTGAAAATATTTTGGGTTTTGTAATAAAATATTGTCGTTCATATTTACACACTTGTGACGTAATACAACAAAATATGTTAAACATGTTGAAAGGATGATAAGATTACTCCTATGTGAGGTATATTTTTCCTACAGATATGCTTTTCTTTTATAATAGAATGCTCCTTTTTATTGATTATAAAAATAATCGAACAAAGAAAAATAGTCCCGACTGATATATATTAACTTAAGTATTTTTCATATACATGTTCATCATTTACTTTGATGATATTTCATATGAATCGATAAAATCGATTCATATGAAATATCATCAAATAATTCATATTTCATATGAATCGATAAAATCGATTCATATGAAATATCACTGTTTTAATTCTCTTTTATGAATGGCAAACGACAAATAGTAATCAAATTTATGTCCCTGAAAATATTTAATGGTTCCTAATTGCTTTTGTCAATAATGATCATTATGAATTAAATATACATATATAAATCTATTAAATATTGGATGGGATCTCATTGTATAAACTACTTTTGTAATCTGTATAAACCTTTCTTTAACTGGATTGAAGAATTTTGAATACAGAATTAGAGAATACAGTTCTAACTATATTAGAAGAGTATATGAATCCTACAGAATGTTACATCGATCGTTGTATATGGTAAGTTAAATTTAATCATCTATGGCGTCTTAAATTTTCAATTTATTATTCGTCAAAGTAATGTAAAAAATTAATTATAATTGCATAAAATAACCTCAATGGCAAGTTTTAGAGCATAAGAATATTAATTTTGGTCTAAAAAAGAAGTGGAGGAGAAAAGCTTCTCCATTGGTTGAGATGAGCTGTCGCATATTTTTTTAAAGTTGATGTTATTCTTTAGAATTTTTATTGTGAAATGAGTGATATGACATCAAATTGACATATAAGTGTGCAATGTTCCAACCAAACGAACAAATATTTTGGGCTGCAATTTGAAAAAATTATAGACTACCTATAAATTCCCATTGTCGTCCGTCCGTCTTTCCTTAATGACGAGAACGAAGTTAGATAAATGAAGTCCGAGACCAGATATGGAAATCTTAGGGGCGGGATACCCTGATTAACTGTATATGAACTTCCGACGCAAGCCGGAAGTCACATTATTTATATTCAAAATGTTTCCTTTAAAAGCAGTTAATAGATGATCGGCACGAGTCTATTGTTAAAGGAAAAGTATGATGTACAGGGACAAGCCACTACTAATTTGAGGTGGAGAACATATATTTTAAATTAAATAAATTAAAAATATGATTAAAAATTGCAGTCTTGCAGGCATTGTGACGATATCACAATAAATAATTGCTCGTATCTATGAAAAAATTATAAGGTGAGAGCCTCTTAACTGACTTTCTTCCAATTTAATATTCAATGTTTTTATTTAAATATTTTATGCATGAAAATAAATCAAAATCTAAAATCAAAATTTCTCTTGGTGTTTTTTTTTTCCAGCTCCAAAATTTCGGGATAACATTTTAATTATTTTACATGTTTTTAATAATTATGTTGAAATTGATAATTTATAATTTTCATTAATACATTACTAATATACATGTATATTCTATTTTTACATCTATTTCCGGTATGTGGAGATAAAGAAAGTTTTTCTATGCCCATTGCTGTTTTGGCCAGGCTCACAAAATGGTGACGGACGGATGTTGAGGGATGGGTATCCGACATATCCGGATAAACTACCTTTCGAAAAATTTTTAGAAATCCTTTGCCCGATTCGATTCCAGGTTTCTTAAAGCGATAGGCTGATACCTTAATCATCTCGGTCATTTGGCCGTATTATATAAAAGAATATATAGTTTATATAAATTGTTTTGTTAATTTTCCGTAAATATATATGAAAAATGTTCGTTCTGCAATTTTTTTAAATATTACCGCATAAGAAACATTATGTGCAGAATTTTAATCCATAAATTCATAATCTTTAAAGTTTTTAGTTTTCGAGAAACATTCAGTTATTGTTTTACGATTTGTAGAGACATATTATAAATAAAAGTTTAAGATTTACAAATAACCAATCATGAAAATGGTCTCATAGTTAATAATTTGACACTAGTAATAAACGATGTATAGAAATTTTTGGTAAATCAATGTCAGCTAAAACTTCATTTTGATATATCAATAATAGATTCCAAAATCATCAGTGAAAATTTACAATTTTATTATTGCTTTTCTGAAAATAAGAACAAAGTCAGCCTAATAAGAGTAAGGGCGTTTATTGCTTTCTTTATAACATCAATTCACTTTCTATTATTACTATTCATGACGATATCACAATAGTATAGTTTATATAAATGTTGTTTGTCGCGTGACTGTATATATAAGGAAAATCAAGCCTATTTCATAGAATTTGTTTTACGACATAAATACTAGTAATAAGCTAATTGCTATTTGATTTATCTTCCATTACGCATACTGATTCATTGTGATAAATATTATTACTTCCGTAGTATTTTCAGCTATGTATTTTAAGTTATTATATATAGCCTATATATTTTAAATATATATTTCACATTACATTTTTACTTATTTTTTGCAATTGATCTGGGTTTAATCGGTTCATAATTATTAAACTTTGATAATAAAATAGGGAACTCTTTTATATCATTAGAAAAACCAGTGCTTTTTTTGGGGGGGAAAGGTGGTGGAACGCTCATCTCATTACTAAAAATATATTACATACATCGTACACAAGATTCGGCACAAAAGCAGGAGCAGGACCGTCTTAATAATTTTGTTGCCGATTTTCTATGCTCAATAGAGCGATTCAACGCGGACCAAACATCAAATTTTCAAAAATTTTTAATTGGATTAAAAATATACCAGTATCAGAATTTGAGTAATTCTGATACTGGTATATTTTTAATAATATTGTCTGTGTATCAAAAAAACTTAAAAACAATTTTTACTATGTTAACAATTTTTACTATTTATACTGTTATATACCCATGTGTAAAAAAAAATTTAAATAATTGTTAAGGATGAGGAAGGTTTGCCCTCGCAAACCTTCCTCATCCTTAACAATTATTTAAATTTTTTTTTGTAGATTTTTTGTAATTTTCATAATATGGAAATCACTGAGGAGGGGTTGGAGTACATTATACCAACCCGAAATATATTTGTAGCTCAATGGAAAATAAAAAATNAGAAGTTTTTTTTTTTTTTTTTGAATTACAGAGACAGATTTACATTTGTAAAATTAGTGTTAGTTTTGTTAACAGAAAATAAAATATTTAAGACTGCTTTGCTTTTCATTAATAATGAAACGTTCTATGTACAGTATTTTATATAGGCCTATATATATATATATATATATTTAATATTTAATAGGACCCGCAAAGAGGTAAAAGGGGCCCGTTCTACTCCAGACCCCGTACAAGCTTTTGACGGCTTGGCGACAGATTACAACATTTATCGCCTTTAAGCCTGCACACAGTAATCTGGCACCCTTCTTTGCAAGGAACAGTCGGATTAACCAGAGTCTACTGTAATTCAATTACAGTATTTCAAGGTGTGAAAAAAGCATTAATACAAATACTTTCTGAAATCTTAATTTAATATTTGAAATTCACTAGAAAACTTATACAGTTGAACCAGTACCTCAAACATGTTTATATCCAAAACCTCTTTACATCGAAATTTATTTTTTCCCCTACATTTCATTCTAAATTTAATGTTTTCCATGTTTATCTCAAATAATTTCCTTTCAAAATCTCTATATCTCAAATTACGGTCTGAAGTGTCTATTACAAATTCAAAACTCAGAGACTATATTTTGATAGCATAAATTATAGTTGAGAAACATCTCTTGCTATACAATACAGTATATAGTTACAATTGATGCTGTTTTCCTCTGGCTATGGCTTACTAAGTTTGGCTTGGTTGAAGAAAGTCAGGGATCAGAAACTATTGACAAACTATTTCTGTTAAGGTATGTCAAAAATGTTTTATTTATACCTAATACATGAATGTACTGTATTTGCTATTGTATTAATAAAATATAACATTCTAATCGAACTTATTAATCTATTATAGAGGAAACAGTATCTCGAAACCTGTCTATCTCGAATTTTTCCCATTTCCCGTGAGATTCGAGATAGACAGGTTCAACTGGTTCAACAGGTTCAAATATAAAACAAATAAAATGACCTTCCTTTGTTCACTTTGTATGCTCATTCGTTTTCTGGGAAAACAATTATTTGAATAAAAAAATTGTTCTTTAGTTTTAAATTATTTATGTAATCTGGAATCCTTACTATAATTTTGATATAATAGAAGGAAAAATAAAATTCTTCAATAACTTGCATATTTTGTAAAAAAAAAGGAAAAAAATTTAAAGATAAAATGTAGGAAGAAAGGCAATTTCTCACCCAATCACTAAGAGGGCCTTTTTTTTATAAACTAGTCATGGTTCGGATAGCCCACAAAGGGTGACTGAGGGGTGAAAGATGGGGCTCGGCATATTTGGTCAAACCATTCACGAAAATTTGTTTCGACTCGCACTCCAATCTGAATCCTCAGAGCGGTAGGAGTCTTTACTGCCTTCACTGGTTGTAGGTAGTCGACGACAGGAAATTATTTTAATTTAACGAGACTGCGGGACGAAACAATTTTAGTTTTTTTATTACTCTTTTTGACCTGTGAGCACTAAGTTCTAAAGTCTAAGAGGGTCTTTTTCCATACCTTTCGTGGGTTCGGCCAGGACCATAATAGGGCGCGAGTGGGTGGTAAGGAACGAAACATATTGGTAGTTGGTTATGGGTTCACGTCTTGTCAACGGCCTGATCATGCGGAGTTTTCCGGGCTTTCTTCACGTGTCTAACAACGAAACAGGAATCAATTTCCCAGAGAAAATCCTTCTGGTAAGCAATCCTCTTGGCAGATCGTTCTTCTGTTGCTTTCCGTATCTCATTAAACAAAACTAAATCACTTTGTCAAAAAGCTCCCGAATATGTATAAAAAGATTCTGAAAATTTGATTGAAAGTTACCTATTTTTAAATGTGGCTCTTAGAGATCAATATAGTAATTTGAAAGTTTTTTTGATAAGGGAAGTTCGGATTAAGTTATAGACCTCTTAGTTCTCTCGGAACACTAAGAGGTTATGTTAAATTTGAAATATTTATCAAATGGATTTATATGATACTTGTTTTAAAATTAAAAGTACAATAATGTTAGTTGACATACGAAAAAAATACTGTCCAATTTTCAAACCTTTATAAAAGATATTTTTCTTGTATTCTCTTGAAAATTTCTCGAAGTTTCTTTGTAAATGATCCAAGTTCCTCAACAATAAAATTAATAGTGATATCTTCGTGAATGTAAGCAAATAGTAAGGCTAATAAATATTAGTAGTCTCATTTAAAGATATAAATCGAAAGATATTACCGGTTATAAGAATATCATAATGACAAAATTTTGGATTATTTTCAATATTAAGTGTGTTGTATATGTAGAGCTGTCATTAGTTGTTCTTAAACAAGCTAACTGTTCTTAACATCAATGAAGTTTGAACAGGTGAATTAATTGTTTGTTTATACATCAGCATGTCCTTGAAATTTATTTATTTTTACATATTATATTAAAAATAATATTTATTTTGTTTGTTTCAGAT